GATTCCGCCATACTGCTGCATATCCTGCGTTTATCTGAGACATTTTCGTTGAGGATATAATTCCTAGAGATTTACTGAAGCACGGTTGTTTCTGTTTTGCCACGGCGAACTGTTATTTTCGACCCCAAACGACTGTCTTTTCTAGATTGACTGCATCAGACGTAACGACATAACGGTAACGCCCATAAAGAGCTGTCATAGTCTATTTACCTGGCACGTATAGCCAAGCCCTGTTTTCTACCATGCGCTCGATTTCACAGGACTATAGCGACGTATTTTCTTTATCCGCCTCTGCTATGGTTCCATGGAAACCTTTTTAAAACGTAAGAACAAAAGGCTTCCTAATGTCGCAAAACAGATGAACTATATTAAGCAGGCTGCCGCTACGTCGCCTCCTTGACAGATGAAACGACTGCAGACATGTGCATGCAATGATCAGTCAGTATTGTTCTCACCATTTTACGGAAATCGTCCAGTTAGGTTTGGGACTATTTCGAGATACCGAAAGTATATGTTGACTTATGCAAGGATACTGACACCTTTGATCTTACTTACAGATAGTTTTTTTTATCAAGGTGAAGCGCTCTTTGACATTTTCTTTCAAGAAAGCTTCCGGAATCCCAGATATTTGTAACCCGCGTACATGCATAGCTTCGGAATATTGCGCTCATTCACAAGTGCTGCTTCTCGCGTTTGTATAATTCAAACTATTAATACTGATCATCTAAGTTAGATGTTAGCTGCAACATTTTCGAATTACGGCATAGTTTTAAAAAATTTCAACGTAGAAAAAATGAAACAATTTACTAGTTACTTTTTTGGTTTTAGCCGTAGCTAGATCTATTTTACAACAAACTACTCAGGTTCGAAGCACAGCAGTACCATACCATAGATCGTTTCGTAAATATTCCTTCTAAATCAAATCGCGTTAGAAGCAGATTGACCCCTTCCACTAATTGACATGACACCGATTATTGTCATAGCAGAAACAGTTCGTGAATCAGAACAAAAAGTTTTGCTAAAATAGATTGCTTGATGGAACCAACCTCAATTTCTTAATTTTTACATAAACTGAGACGCCTGTTTCAGAAATGGAACTCGTTTCCTAACGTGGTTCTCACTGAATTAACTTATTTTTCGATTCATGGTCAATCCATCCAATTCAGTTAGTAACAATGCATGACGGCATTTTCAACCATCATATGCGCATGGCTGTCACAGTATACCATCGACCTCTTCTCGCGGTCTTTTTGTAACGCGCATGTGCCATCCTACAGTGTGGCGTTACATTACATTTTGACCTCATGCAAAAAGTGGACCATTAGCAGACTACATAACCTAGCAGAGAAAGATGAGGATTTTTTAAACGACTGTTGTGAATAACTTCCGTGACTGCGTCCTTCAGATAACCCTTCCAGTTTTTAACTTGTTTGTGTTTCCGTGAAGCTTCACTGTAGCAGTTTATATTCTTGTAAATCTTGGCAATGACGACTATTTTTTCTCCATTCTCAAGAAGAACCGGTGTACACCGAGTCTTTGGGCAATCCACGAACCCCAGGCAATTAAGAATAACAAGAATAGAAAAAAAGCATATATGTAAGAGTACCTACAAAAGACTGTGACGTCATTGCTCGTGTGATGAAGTAAAGGTAGCAATGGGCACATGCTAAACAAGAGAGATATTTGACTTCGTTCCAAGGAAAGATAAAAGAAGACCTCCAGATCCATAACAGGATGAGCAGATAAAGTTAGTTGGATTAACGTGAATAAGAATCACAGAAAATAGAAATTTACGGCAACATCTCAGAAAGGTCTTCATTCAGCCGCGGACAAAAAAGGGCATACGTTTCGTCGAAGCCGTCGTTCACGACGGCCTCCATAACATGACTGACCTGCTTAACGAGGATAATATGAAAATAGGCATTTTCTTTCAATAGAAGAATTTTGAAGTTAGTGATATCCACTGCATTATTCGCTATCAAACATTTTTTCTAGAAAGAAAGATGCAGGTCAAGTCACTCCGGAGGATCTTCCTTGATCTTGTACTTCTCCCTGCTGCATGCAAAACTTGTTTGATATTTATGACGCTCCGCTGCCACAGCAAGAATTGGTAATAAATTATTCTCGAAGCATTACCAGGACAGTAACGAACAGCAGTGACACAAGCCAAACCTACAGTATCTAACAATACCATCATAGCATATTTGCTATGAATGAAACAACCATATGTACAGCGCGAAACTTGAGAAACATGCATGGAAAACAAGCTCAACGTAGCGGTTCTGAACTTGAGTAATGCTAGTAAACAGTGAAAAGTTTTAATTAATGGCACAAATCGGCAAGTTGCCAAACTCCAGCATTTACAGAAGATACTCAAATCTTACATATCGTGACGAATCCGTTAAAAACAGGATCAGGTTCGTCGCAGAACGGCAAAACCGCTTCGTTGTTATTTTATAAATATAAAAACAGTAAAAACGAAATAAAACAAAAATAAAAACAATGAAAATATTAAAAATGATTACTAGTAATTGACGCCTAATTAGTCAAAGAAGTTCAAAATCGAAGCCCCTTATGCGATGCACCGGCACGTCGATGCGCATCTCTCATTTGATCTTCGCTTTCCAGCCGACTGCCTGCTGTGCAGGACCACGACTTACTCTTCACTCGAAACCTTACCAAGTCCGCCCTGTGATCTTGATGAGTCATCGGTTTATATCCATTTGGTTCACAACAGTCCTGCAAAAAAATGGAATGTGCTATACGCATAAAGCAAATAATTGACAAACTCAAGTATAAATTAAACATAGTGTAAATGATTCTGTTCTGCTACAAACACTAAGGTAAGTCAGAGAAATCGAAACGCCATTTCAATAAAGTATCTATAGACGATGTGCTAGGTACTGTTCAATATGATCTGCAGGTAAAAGGATTACTTGAAATACGTTACTTTTAAAGGGGAAAAAAGTTCCTTCCACCCTAAAACTGCATTAATTTTTTATTCAGACCGATTATTTTTTACGATGGTGTTTAAAGATTGTATAAGCAGAACACTAAACAATAGTTGAAATGGCGGTTAGAAGGCTTGAAAGGTGTATTTATTATGTACGGCTTTCGGAATCCATTGATAGCCCATCTTCAGCAGAAATTGATCACTTTATTTATAAATTAATTTTATGTTGAAGAGAAGCTACCTGGATTCCGGTAGAGAAGAGCGTGAAACAGGGAGCACCACTTCCGCCAAACTTTTCACTGGCTGTTTGGAAGGGTGTAGTGCTCCGGATAACAAACGAAGGGTGAGAAAAATAAAATTAACTATAAACAGCTTAGGCACTTAAGGATCGCTGATGCCACGATGTTGTTTGCACAAAAAATTAACCTACAAGACATGCTGCAAGAGTTCGACAGAAAAAGCGCAAAGTCGGACTGTCAATCAATCATGAAAAATGAAGATAATGCAATTGGATGCCCGGCCGAAGGCCAAGGTAATGTTAAATCAGAAAAAGTCGACAAATGCATTTACCTGGGCTGATAGATCAGCATGGCATGATCAAACTGGAGAGATTCAGGGGAGAATGACGGTCGGTTTGCGCGCATTCGATTCCATCAAGGACGTTTTCCTCGGCAACAGCAGAAAAAAACCGGAGTCAACCTCTAACGTCTTGCCAGCGATGCTGTGTGGCTGTGAGACGTGGTCACTCGCTAAAGCCGAAGAGCACCCGTTATGCGTCACTGAGACAGCCATGGAAAGAGGAATATTGGGAATCTCATGTGGCGATCATATCCCCAAAACAGTGATCAGAGAGCGGACAGTAGTAAAGGACACTGTCGTCGTCCAATGCAAAAGAAGAGACTGCAGTGGGTCAGGTGTGTAAGTCGGTTCACCTGATTTAAGACAGTCAGGGATCATCGTCGACTGGTATAC